TATAAATAAAATAAATAAAATAAATAAAATAAATAAAATAAATAAAATAAATAAAATAAATAAAATAAATAAAATAAATAAAATAAATAAAATAAATAAAATAAACCGATTATGTTTAATTTATTAATATTATTTAAGGTATAACGGTTAAGCTTACGTAAGTGTCACCGGTAGTCTTAAATATAATGTGCTTTATCTCCGCAATTGTCACGGTAGCCTAAGGCCCAGCTAGCTCAATGGTAGAGCACTGGACTTCTATTATTAAACGATATCCAGAGGCTGTGGGTTCGAGCCCCACGTTGGGCTTATCACGTCACACTTTTCTTTTTTTTTCATAACCACCTCTCTGTTTGCATTCCATTTTTGTGAACCTTTTTGAAGTTCCACGCATTCATCCATAAGATTTTGAGCATAAGTATGAACGTCTCTGGGCTGTCCACCATTTTAACCTCTTATGCACATGTCTTTGCCGACATAGTCTTGACCGTGTGTCAGTGCTCTCGCCCCGTTGTCGCTTCATTAAATCTCATATTTTTGCATCCTATGTTTATCTCCCAAGTTTCTCTTTACAGTGTCTCAGATTTCCCTAGTCACCTCCCATGCGTATGATCGAGGCCAGGATTTGGTTGGAAACTACTACTGCCGACTTCTTGGCACCCAATTATGTGAACGTTCTATCTATTTCATTACTTGTGACAGACTCTGCTATAGCGAGAATGCTATTCTCATCATAGGTATCGATAAAATGTGTTAATGGTAGTTTTTCAAAGTAGCAAAACATTACGCATTTTATCTGTACTACTAGAGCTTAGAGTTGAGTTGTTCTTTCATGCTCAGTTAACGGTCTGGTTTAGCTATAGTTATTAGAGCCCACATATGTAATAAGCAAGAACTGGGCAAAGCCCATCCTTATGTAACAAACTTCCTACAGACTTTCGGCCTGCAATGTCTTTCTAGAAAGATCGGCTTCGTTTATGGCCTGCGCTATAGAACATCAGGGCGAAAGCTGTGACAGAAACAGTGCCTCTTTATTATATCCTAAGCACGACGTAAATGCAGCAATAGCGAAGTGAAGTTTTTTACACATGAGCAGTATATATCTTCTACATTGATCGGGAATACTTCAACTGCTCATATGTAGCTACTGGCAGATTTAACTCCTACACGTCTGTTATATTTACATCAAGAAGCTTAGCTAAAGCAGATATCCTCCTTGAGAGCATGTCTTGTCCCAGTCCAGGAAAGAGTACGGTGCGTACTACGAAGTCTCTCCAGATACTAGTGGGGGTTATTGGCTCTGCTATCGGTAGGTTTCTTTCCGTTGGGAAAATACACAGCTCTTCCCTCTAATCTTTATCTAAACGTACAGCGGGACTACTCTGTACGAACTTCAAATCTACCTTGTGGCCTAGAAGTTCGCGAATATTTGAGATTCCATATTTGATCATCGTAGGCCTTTCTAAGGACAGACCCCAGCCGTACACGCGTGTATCCGGGCTACAATCAAAGTAAGAATTTTATCAAGAATGAAGATGGAAGCTCAAGAAAGTAGCAAAACAAATAGAGGGTATGATACGTACGGGAATCCCATAGCTTCGAGCATTTCGGGCCGGAACATTCCGCTGTTCCCTATTTCAATAAGCTTTCCTAGGCCCTTGTCTGTTATAACATGTTAGTATCTAGTGAAATAGTACGAATTTTTGTGGGATACGTACGATAGGAGAATATTTCCATGCTAGGTTCGGTATCTAAGTAAATGTCAGCAGAAAGTAAATATACACCTGATTTCATGGAAACGTCGGAATGAAATCCAGGGCCTCATTCAAAAATAGGGACAAGGTAGAACTGAAGGAGTACGCACAAGGGTTGTAGGCGGGCTTATACTTGAGATCAGTGATACCCATCTTGCCAAAGAAGATGTCCATGAACTAAAACAAGTCAGTCATAGGTTCGCTCTGTAGTTATAGCTAGTCAATAAGCATAGATTCTCACCTCCATGAGCCCACCCAGAGTCAAATCTGCGTCAGCTATGACACCCTCGACCTGATGGAACTCCGCAAGATGCGTTGCATCAACACTCTCATTTCGGAACACCCTATCGATGGAGAAGTAGCGTGCCGGAGGTGGGCGACCGTCGGTGCCTTTTCTAGCTGCTAGTTTATGAAGCATATTTGCGCTGATAGCTGTCGTGTGAGTACGTAGTACTAGTCGTAGTGACTCGTCGCCTGACCAGGGGTATCGGTAGCCGATCGAACCATATTTGCCGTCCTATGTCCCATAAATTAGTAATCTCCCGAATGTTTAGAGGGGCTAACTGGAATTATATAGAAGATACGTACTTGATGAACCGCCTTCACGTTCTCCCAGTAAGCGTTGTAGTCTTTCTTGTCATCGGGCGATGTTTCTCGAGGCTTATCGGCTGTGGCAGGGTCGGAAATATAGAACTATTCCAAGGTAATATTAGGAGCTATTAAGAATAGGGAGAGGAGGTCCAAAGTATATATCGAATATTCTCTAATATACGATGGTGGAAAACAAGGTGGTCGCATACAGTGTCTTGTAAGTCACGCGCTGGATGTTGCTGTGGCACATAAAGGGCGTCGAAGTTCCAGAAACCCGACTCGACAAACCTGGAGAGAAAGCCCATGTTAGCCTGAGCGACTCTTCTACCGTTGGGAAGTACCTACTTATCGGTGGGCATCTCCTCGAATCCCATCTCAAAGAAAATCTGTCTGAACTCGGCGCGAACTTTGCTGAGTGGATGCAATGCACCCGACCGTTGGTCTGCTCCTGAAGCCTTGAAGTTATACGGCTTAAATGTAGCAGTCTTCCACGACCCCGTACTTATCATGTCGGCAGTTAAGTCTGTTGCTTCTTCGGGGATCTTCAGGGCGAACTTGGTGCCCTTATGAATTTTGAAGCTGATAATCTTTTGCATCTTGATAAGTTTTCGCTTCTTCAAATCGGCAAGTAGTTTAGCGTCAGGGTATGTTCGTGTCGCCTTAATGGTTAACATTTGCTCCTTGGTAACATCTTGTATGGATTCTTGCACGGCCTTGAACTTGCCATCTGCGTCCATACCAGTTAGTTAGCCGCACCAGCTTGGTAGGAATAATATCTGTATGCGTACCCTTCGTTTTCGATATCCATTTCTCCTTGAACGCCTTGCCCTGGCCAATCTTAACAACATTCTTGTCACCTATGGTCTTCTCTAGGTCTTGCACGGTTAGGCCGTCAACGGCAGAGCGTAAAGCATCGAATACGCGGGCTTCGTGACTGCCATTGGCAGCAATCTGCTCGCCCTCAGGCTCTAATATAGCTTCTTCTCGTTCTATTGTATCGTAGGCCACCATATCACGGGAAGCTAATCGGTCTAGGGCGGCCTTTACTTCGACGAAGCCCGCATCCGGAAAGGCTTCGGATGAGAGGAGCGGCGAGGTCTGGTCGAGGGACTGAAGAATGCGGGAGGTGAGATCCCCCGACGGGGGGCTTGTTGTCGAGGATGCCATGCTCAAATTGAGAATTAGTGTTGTTACGTTTTCATGAGTTGTGTCCTGGTAGTAGGAAGTGCGAAAATTTGAAGTTCCCGTATGCTATATGAAGTTGGTGTGAGCCTGAGTCACATTTGATGCTACGAATTAATTGTTTCGCGACTTAGGAACACCCCTCCCCCTCCCCCCACCGAGAGAAGAGAAGCCAGGGTCTAACCATGCCCCTCCATCAGGTACGTACACTAGGTACCGGTACGTTCCGGCATGTACATGCGTCAATCTTTTACCGCCTGCCTAACCTGAATAAAAAAGAACAAAGTTCTCTTATCGATAGAGGGGTACTTGTCGGAAAGCTTGTTTAGCAGGCAACGTAGATAAACTTTTTTTTTTAATTATAATTATTCTGCCTGCTGCAGAGTCGGACTCGGCGCAAAACTTCCAAATAATTATATTTTTATTTCCATTCCCAGCAATCACCCTTACTTTGATTAGGTATATTATTCAAGCATCGTTTTATAAGAGGTAGCCCTACCTGAATCGACACCGGTGGTGTACGTCTACGTCTACGCCTACGCGTTTTCCAAGCTTTCGCGGCAAGTTAGCAAGATGAAGTATGTGCTAGTCAGCGGGGGTGTCATCAGCGGCATTGGCAAAGGTATTTGTTGTTCTTTTTCACTCCTGTTTACTGCTTGCTTCAGCTGCTAACTTGATTATTCAATAGGCATAATAGGTATAGCAGCGAGAAATAAATCACTTATACTTTTCTGGCTCTGCTAACTTTCCTAAGCTTCCTCGTCTGGGCTTCTGCTTAAGACGACTGGTCTTAAGGTCACGGTATGAGCTATGAAAATGCACCTTTCCGTGTCGTTTAACGATCATATGCTCATTAGGTATTGTGGCTTAGGCAATTAAAATTGATCCATATTTGAATGTAGACGCTGGTACATTGGGTCCACTCGAGTAGGTGAGATACCTAAGGTAATAGGTATATTGCAGTACTAACAGTAATCGATTTTTGAAGGCATGGAGAGTGCTTTGTTCTAAAGGTGAAATCTAACTTTCGGCGTTGTTTCGTTATTGGCATGCTAATAGAAACCAGGACGGAGGCGAATCTGATCTTGATCTCGGAAACTATGAGCGCTATTTGAACCTCAATCTCACCAATGAGAACAACATCACAACCGGCAAGATCTACAAGTTCGTCACACTGGCCTGTCATTTTATGTTATTTCTACCTTATACTAATTCACTCGAAGAGCCGTAATCGAACGGGAACGGAAGGGTGACTACATAGGTCGCACAGTCCAGGTTGTACCTCACATCACAGATGCCATTCAGGACTGGATTCAGCGCGTAGCGAGGATACCTGTTGATGATAGTGGCGAAGAACCCGACATCTGTATCAGTATGTATTCATGTCCCCTAGCGAGTTACCAGGCACTAATTGATATTGGTTTATAGTTGAATTAGTACGTTTTTGCAATGCGTTTATTATCATTTAGCTGCGCAACTGGCTTTTTGATTTTACGGATCTAATTGGCTCATAATAGGGTGGTACTGTTGGCGACATTGAGAGCATGCCCTTCGTTGAAGCATTGACTCAGTTCAGATATAAGGTTGGCAAAGGAAACCTGGTCAACATACATGTCTCTTACGTGCCCATTATCCACGGCGAGGAGAAGACCAAGCCCACACAACATGCTATCAAACAGATGCGAAGCGCCGGTTTAATACCAGACCTAGTTAGTACCAAAAGGGGTATTCTATGATATTGGCAACTAAGAACATCTCTAGATTGCCTGCCGCTGCGAGCGCGCTCTCGACGAAGCTACGACCCAAAAGATTGCCCGAAGCTGCCAGGTCGAATTCAAGCAGGTTGTTACCGTTCGGGATATCGAGACTATTTATCAAGTACCACTGCTTCTCGAAGAACAGGGCTTACTTCACCGTCTACGCGAGGCCTTGATGTTAGACCAACTATCAATCCCCCCGACCTTGGTCAGTAAAGGCGAAGGCTTGTGGAAATTATGGAAGGAGACTGTCGTGACAAAGCCGTACCTAGAGCCGGTAATAATTGCTTTGGTCGGTAAATATATCGCACTTCCCGATAGTAAGTATCGCCAATTCATTTACGACTCTGACTATTAAATCACAGGTGTCGTTTGTTTCAAGATGTATATTATCCCTAGAATAGCGAAAACTAACATGAAATGTTTAGGTTACCTCTCTGTAATCAAGGCTCTAGAGCATTCGGCAATGCGATGCAACCGCAAGCTAAATTTGTGCTGGATTGATGCAGAGCATCTTGAGGATGCTACTTTGAAGAGCGACCCCACCATATATCATAAGGCCTGGTCACAACTTACTGTTGCTTCTGGCTGTAAGTAGTTTCACATTCGTCATCCCCATCACAAGAGAGCCATAACACACAATATCATAATATAGTGGCTGCTTGGAAAGTAGGCCTTGAGCTATCGAAATATTTCCGGGCGCTTTTAATGTGCTACTGGCTAATTCAAAACAGGCATCTGTCCAGGAGGATTCGGTGGTAGAGGCGTAGCAGGGATGGTTAAGGCTGCAAAATGGGCACGCGAATGTAAGATCCCTTACCTGGGAATCTGCCTCGGAATGCAGGTCGCCGTTATAGAAGCCGCTCAGAATTTGTGTGGCTACAAGGGTGCTACCTCGGAAGAATTCGATGCCAACGCCGAACATCGTGTTGTCATCTTCATGCCAGAAGGGTCAAAAGAGATAATGGGCGGCACAATGCGACTCGGTACAAAAGCAACACATTTCCAATCCGGGAGCGAGTGGAGTAAGCTTCGGGCTTTGTACGGAGACTCGACCGTTATGGAAGAGCGACACAGACACCGCTATGAAGTTAACCCTGATTACATCGAGGAGCTCGAGAAGGCCGGGCTCAACTTCGTTGGAAAGGATGAATCAGGCAAGCGAATGGAAGTGGTCGAGCTGAAAGATCATCCCTTTTTCGTTGGTGTCCAGGCCCACCCCGAGTTTACATCTCGCGTTCTCGCTCCGTCGCCTACGTACCTCGGTTTTATGGCTGCCAGCACAGGCTGCCTCGACCAGGTTATCCAGGAGATACGACAACAGAAGAAGCAAACTAACGGTCTTGTCAATGGCGCGGAGGAAAGCGTTCATTTTTGATTCTGCAGATGATAGAGGATCATATTTTCTTCGTAATGGATAGCATAGGCTGGAATGCATGCGAGGCAAGTCTTGTCAGACTCATTCTTGTTAATGGGAGGTAAACACCTAGAGAGAAACAAGGATCATATTTTACTTGACGTCCAGCTATGGAGCTAGAGCGGATGGTTATTTCAGACTAAAGGGACTACTGCGCAATCTGGGTTCGATGTGTTTGCCTAGTTTACATATATAGATATATACTAAAAGAAACCACAGAGAAAAAAAATATGAAATTTTGATTATAATGAAGATGTGTTAATAATTAAGTGTTGTAACTTGAAAAATTTACTTTTTTAATACCTACCTAGGTAACATGCACGTCTATCAAAGAAGCTCCACTTTCGCCCGTCGTATAACTACATAGTACATAACTACACAACAGTACTGCGTATGTACCTAATCGTATAATCATTCATTCCCCCCACTACATCTTCAATTTACACAAAGTTAAGCTCACCTCTATTCAACCGACCCGAACTTATAATTTTATATTTTCCACAAGGCAATTGGCATTAGAGCGTAGAATACAAAATGGCCAGCGGTAACAGCGAAACGAGTATGTTCATTTCCACTCATATGTCTTCACTTCATTTTCATCTTCTCCAAGCAGATAATATTAATCGACTAACCCCTCCATCTCCAAACCAACAGTCAACCTCGACACCCTGAGCGCCCAGCAGCTCAGCCAGGTGAAAAAGCAACTCGACGAGGAACTCGAGCATCTGACGTCGTCCTTCACCCAGCTCCACGCCGCCCAGTCCAAGTTTCGCGAATGTCTGCGCTGCGTCCAGGATAAGAATAAGTCGCCTGCTCTACGGGGTATGTCTACCGTTACTATTAATTGCTATTGCTATTGCTATTGCTCGGCTTATACCAGCTATGAGGAGAAAGCGAACTTGAATTACAAATCTAATACATTATAGAAAATAACTCGATCCTCGTCCCCCTTACCAACTCCCTCTACGTGCGCGGGACACTCGCAGACGCGTCCCACGTTGTCGTCGACATTGGCACCGGCTTCTATGTCGAGAAGGTGAGAACCACGTGTAACATGAATATCAGGACTACGAATGTGTTGACACGGGCATATAGGATATTAAATCAGCGGCGGATTTCTACGAGAACAAGGTGGGCGAGTTAGGAGCAAGTATAAAGGATCTAGAAGCGATTGTGCAGGGTAAAACCAACAACGTACGGGTTGTCGAAGAAGGTATTATTAACTCTATACATCCTAATCTGGGGTTTCTCTCCGTTTTAGTAGCTAATGCGACTTGCGAAACTATTAGTTTTGAGGCAAAAAATGGTTGGCGGAGCGCAGCAGACAGCACCATCGTAAACGGTCAAGAGCTGTGAGATATCCTCGGTGGATCATAGCTCTTAACAAACATCAAAGTCCCAGCGCCAAACAATCAACAAGTAAGGGCTGTTTTGATACATCCTTCATATCATAACTTATGGCCTGAACTTGAAATGGCAAGCCTAGAAGAGGTGCTCCAAGGCGCCGCGAATGTCACCAATTGTCTGTAGGAAATGGTCAACCCTGTCAGGGCCCTTTGGCGTCGTTTCACCTCGCGGACCTTCAAGTAGATACTGCAACTCGTCGCCCCAGACGTTTCCAACCACATCCTCTTCCGAATCCCAGCCTTCTCCAAAGATGCTGATTCCAAGTTCCATCTTCGGCACTGCCTTGGCTCTCATGGCAGGGATGCTGTCCCATCGGTGGTTGACTGCAATCTCGACAATGTACGTTGTGGCCTTCCATCTGAATTGATAGATTGTCTTGACCGCTACATACTTGATTTTGCTCTCTACCGAGACGAAGGGCTCCAGCTTGACGCTGGGATAGACGTTAAGGTCGTGTGGTCGCTCCGAGTTTGATAGTTCGGCCTTGGCTGATCTTAAGTACTGGGTAACTTCTGGGAACGTCTTTGCGCCCTTGTCCTCTTCGATGCCTTCTAATTGCCAGTCAAGGTTCCTGGTAATGGCGTCAGATTGTATATCATACCAATTTATTATTATTAGTAGACTTACTTTCCAAGGCTCAAGTTATAAACATTAGCCTCGGCAGGGTTGGCATCGAGTGTACTCGAAGTCACGCGGTAGAGCTGACAAGCGACCGTGCCTCTCGACCTTCCGCTGGTTCTCTTCTTGATCGGTACATCAAATTTGGTCCCCTCAGAGCGCATCTCGAGAGAATATTGCGGTAGGACATCTGCTGCTACGACCGCCTGGTTGCCAGTAGGTTGGAACGGACCGTTTGTGCTGTTCCTGACAAAATCTAGGACTCTTTTAGCCAGTGTCTCGTCACCGATCCTATTCAGTCATTAGTGATACTGGCTAATTTTATGGATTTTCAAGGCTTGAGTGTTTACCAGTTCTTCAGCCATCCAGAGGCTCGAGGATTCTTCAACATGGTACGGAAGTCGTTGTATCCATACACCTCCTTACCCTTCGGGTACTTTCGCAACATGAATTGGCCTAGGTAAACTCTCAGGGTCAACGACAACTTGAGACGACCGGCTTTGATCAGCGACTTGTAGAGATAATCGTTCAGTTTCGCCTTGTACGTCTCAGGAGTCTCCAGAAGTTGCAGACCGGCAACAGCATCTTGTCCTGGCTGTAGAATCGGTCGCACTTCGCCGGATACAGGGTTGGTGTGTAGAAGGACCTGAGTAGCGCTATCGATTTCGGCAGGAGGTTCCATGAAAACATTAGATCCTCCGATGGACTCGTTGGAGATCAAGTCCGCAGCCACATCCTGTGCCAAGTTGATGTACTCGTTGATGTTCTTGGCAAGACCGTTGATTCTCATGTACGAGCCTTGAGGGGTCTTACAAAGTTCAAGATTGTCATCGTTGGCTCGGCTCAGTTCTTTGTATACGGCCTCGATCACCCCGGAAGCTACTTCTGGAGCGTGAGAAATGACGAAGTTGACCTGAGATTTTCCAAAAAGAAACACAGTATTAGCTATTATCATTTTCATACAAGCGAAAGCTGTCGAGGGGGTGACAAACCTTCACTTTCTCGGTAGGATTCGCCATGCTGTGCGCACTTTTGGATGACGTTCGCAGGCTGATGATGGGCTTGGATTCTTCTTTGAGACTTGACGTGTCTGCCTGGGTAGTTATTTCAGTAGGTGCCAGCTGAGCGTTGGGGGTGCCAATGTTTGAGCAGGTGCCATCCATCTTAGTGGTGTTGGCATCTGCTTTTGAGGTGTTACCAGTTGCCTCGGGTGGGTACAGCATGGCAGAGGGTTCGTAGGTACAATGGTTGTAGGCATCGGGATGAAGAACTGGTAAGTATTGGAGTGCAGCTTCCTCATTGTCTGACACTTGAAGAAATAAGTCCAAAGAAGATGCCGGATTACCGCCACGATCAACGTCCTTCGACGGGTCAGGACTATTGAGGACAGGACAATTCACAAGTTAGTCTCGTCCGTGGATCTAAGACGATTATTTATGCAAGGTAAGAAAGACACATACAGGTCTATCAAGGACTCCATTGTGAATTGCAGCGTATATAGATGGATGTATGTTCCGGTATTAGGTTTCTAAATTCAAAAGAAGAAAAGACATGAAAGCATAAAGCTATGAAGTTGAATTTGTATTAAGATTATAAGACACAGCTTCTATAGATACGTTATGGACTTTGTGGGCTTCAGGCTCTAGGGAACTGGTTAGAATAGTTGGGCGATGGAATATAAAGACGTAGACAAGTTTATGTCTTTGAAATGCCGACATTGTGGTTAAAATATAAAGTGGCAGGAATCGGTAGTTGCTATAGTTTCCGTAGTTGCCTAGGGCTCTATAAGTAGGCGGCACCTACTTGATTACAATATTAGGTACATGTAGGTGTTGTCATGTGTGTACCCCTATTACATGATGCTGTAGCACATGCAAGTATCCGCCCCGTAGTGTATAAGGCAAAGAGCTACCTATGTACCTGCCTAGGCAAACAATACAGAAATATCTACTTAACTATGTAGTTGATAGTTAAGTGCTTCTGTATTGTTTTTAATCTACTCAATACGTATTAATGAGGATTCATATAATTTTTACTACTTCGTATATTGTCGGCGTAGACTGAGTAGCAAGGCTCTATCTAATCAGTTTAATTAATTGGACTAATAGGTCACGTGATTGCGCGAATCTCTCTTACACGCGAAACCGCGTTTTATCTGCAAGTTACCGCTGTCCGCTGTCCACTGTCCACTTACAAGACCATCTATCGACGTTTGTTTTATTTTTTTATCATATGTCCACCAATTAATCAGTTGCTCGATTGAACAATCAAGACTTCTTGAGCGTTTCCCAACTAAAACTTACAATAATTAATCCTCATTTTATCCTTTTAATTTAAATTAGTAATTCCAGATGGTTCGCCGCTCTTCCAACGTCATTAAGGGGGTCGCGAGAGATGACTCGGATGATGAGTTGGGCGTTGATGATCATCCCTGGGAGTGGATTTATCGGGAAGCCCAGTCATCTGGATCCCCTACCAAGAGGAAGAGGAATGCACATCATAGCATAGTGGGCGCTCGCATGGGCACCTTTGAATGCTACGTTGGTGATTGTGTTCTATTAAAGGCAGAAGGCTCCAATGAAGCCTGGGTTGCCATAGTTGCCGAATTCCGCGAGGCCGACGAGGATGGAGATAAGGCAGCTAATTTTCTGTGGTTCTCTACTGAGAAAGAGATCCGAAATAGCGATCGGAAGAGAACCGATTTCCTACCGGTTGGTATTTGCTATTAATCCATACGCTTCCCTGCTTCCCTTGCTAATTGTACCGAGCTTAGAATGAATTATACATCACACCATCTACTGATGTCAATCCATTAGCTTCTATCAACGGCAGAGCCGTGGTCATGTCCCAGAAGAAGTTTCAGAAGGAATATCCCAGTGGTAAGGTCCCCCGTAACTCGCCAGGCTACAACAAGACCTTTATTTGCAAGAGAGGATGCAATACGAGGACTGCGACGTACACAGAAGAGTTTGTTTGGGAAGATGTCTATCCCGGCAGAGAAGGAGATGTGGATGACCTGCTAGAATTGGTACGGAGCGGGACGAGATCGACAAGGAAGCGGCGCAATCATGATGTATCTGCCCGAGAAACGGATTATGTGGCTACCCAGCCAGACCGAGACGAGGATTGTCCTTCTGATGATGGCGCCCCCCGACCTGTCACTACGCCGAGAAAGAGGCAGAAAACAAAACAGGTCGTGACACCTTCCAACCGCAGGTAAGTACTTGGACGCTTAGTCCGTCACGTCCCCAAGATTGGGATCAAGCGTTATTAACCTAGAATGCTAGAGTTGTGGTGAAGAAGGCATTGGAATTCACACCGCTCGCCACTCGAATACTTTCTCCAAGCCACCACCAATCTTCCCCTTTCCAGATTGCAAGAGCTCAGTTGCACGTTGCATCGGTACCAACTAGCTTACCTTGCCGAGAATCCGAGTTCTCTTTAGTATACTCGCATCTCGAGGCTGCTATTACTGATGGCTCTGGCGCTTGTATATACATTTCTGGAACTCCAGGGACGGGGAAGACGGCTACGGTACGAGAGGTGGTGTCAAAGCTAGACGAAGCAGTGCGGTCTGACGAGTTAGATGACTTCATCTTCGTCGAAATCAATGGTATGAAGATAACCGACCCGCACCAGTCGTACTCCCTCCTCTGGGAAGCTTTGAAGGGGCAGCGAGTCAGTCCGAGCCAGGCACTGGATCTCCTCGAGCGAGAGTTTAACAACCCGAGCCCTCGACGAATCCCTTGTGTTGTCCTGATGGATGAGCTCGACCAACTCGTTACTAAGAACCAAAGCGTCATGTATAACTTTTTCAACTGGCCTGGGCTGAGACACTCGCGACTTATTGTGCTTGCAGTGGCTAACACGATGGACTTGCCGGAGAGAACGCTTAGCAACAAAATTAGTAGTCGCCTGGGTTTGACACGTATCACATTCCCGGGCTACAACCACGAACAACTTATGAAGATTATCCAGTCGCGGCTTGAGGGTGTTCCGGGTAACATCGTCGAACCAGATGCCGTTCAGTTCGCTAGCCGCAAAGTCGCTGCTGTGAGTGGCGATGCGCGGCGCGCTCTCGATATCTGCCGGCGAGCTGTTGAGCTAGCTGAAGCTGACGTCAAGGGCTCGGACCCTGACCCGGGAACTCCAAGTAAGAGAGCAAAGGCAAAAACGGGCGAAGCAGACAGAACAAAGAGCTCGAGGGGTAAAGTCACGATAGCGACAGTTAAGCGGGCGATCAACGAAGCAACCACAAGCCCCTTGCAGCAATACCTACGAGCGCTTCCGTTTGCTTCCAAGTTAATTCTCGCATCCCTACTAGTGAGGAACGAGCGGACAGGTTTGCCCGATAGCACCTACGGCGATGTGATGGAGGAGATGAACCGAGCTCTGGTAGTAGATGCCAGTAGTCGCCGAGTTGGTTTACTGAGACATACGACGGATAGAGATTCCAAGGTGGATATAAGCACACGAAAGAAGGAGCAAAAGCCCCCTAGACCGGCAGGCATTAGTACCGCTGCGGTTGATCTCACTGGTGCTGGCATCATCATCCTTGAAGGTCAGAGAGCAGAAAGGCCGAGCAAGATTAGGCTTGCTGTAGGCGATGAAGAGATCAAGCTTGCATTTCGAGACGACCCTGAGATTCGGGCGCTGGGTATAGCATTCTAATGTACAGATAGTACCAAAACCAAGATTTACGGCGTTAATACCCCTAATAGTTATCATCTGTTTCCGTCCTTCGTGGCACAGAATGTCTATACTAAAACACCCCCAAATGCGAGCAATAAGATACAAATTACGCAATTTTTACTCCTATTTAATTAATACTTTTGTCTCCCCAGCGTAGGCTTCCACTCGAGCGGATGCGTCTCCGGCGTCGCCTTCTCATCCTGCTTCCATATCTTAATCGTCTTATCTGCCTCACCAACAATAAGCCGTAGTCCCGTGCGGTCGAACGTCGAGCTCATGATACCCGCCTCGGCGTCCAGAGACCCCGGCTGAGCAATAGAATCTAAAGCCTGGAACCGGTGGCCGGTCTTCCAGTCCCAGAAGCTCATGGAACCGTTATCGCCGCCGGAGAACAGGACGTCCTCGTTGACGGCGAGGGAGTTGATGATGGCATTGTGCCCTTCAAAGTTACCCATGAAGGCGCCCTCGGGACACTTCCACTGCTTAATGCTGCCGGTGCTGCCTGTCGCAAAAGTGAATTCGCTGGGGTGGAGGGCTAGTGCGCGGACGCCCTTTTTGTGGTGTGTGAGGACGCCCATGGTCTTGCCTGCGGCGAGGTCCCAGAGGCGCACGGTGGAGTCGAGGGACGCGGTTATGACTTGCGGGTCGGCTTCTTGACACTTGAGGTCGGCTACGGTGCCCTTGTGTCCCGAGAGCACGTGGATGTTGCTGCGTGTGCGCATATCCCAGACGCGGGCTACGCCGTCTCGACCACCTGTTACTAGAACATCGAGAGTAGGGTGTAATGATAAGGTATACACGCCACTGAGGTGGCCGTGGTAATGCCGAATCACCTTGTTCGTTTCCAAGTCCCAACATTTCACCATCTTGTCCTCGCCACAAGAGAATAGATACGGATGTCGAGGAGATACGGCGAGGCCTCGCACGGTGGATATGTGGCCCGTTAGAGTTAATCTCAGGTTCCCTGTTGCTAAATCCCAGATCTTGATGGTGCGGTCGCCGGCACCGCTGGCAAACCATTGGTTGTGCGGTTCGACGGCTAAGGCACGCACCCAGCCTAGATGGCCTGAAATTACTCTCATGAGCTTCCATGGGGGGTGCCAGTCGGGTTTGGCTTGATGCGTAGCCTGCGCTCGGGCAACGCTTAGGGATTGGGATGTTGTGGTATTTGAACCAGCACCGGCACCGGCAGCGGCAGCGGGAGGTCTTTGCAGATGGACTAGGGCACTGGAGTTTGAAGGGAGGCTATTTATGCTAGGCGAGGAGGATTGCGCGATGCCCTCGATCAGCTTCTGTGTCTTCTGGTCTTCTGGTGCGGCCGATGGTTCGTTCGCAGCTGGTCTCTTGCCCTTCTTCCTGGCGCTCATAGCGCTCGCCTGCTTCTGGGCGAGAGCGGGAGGTAGTTCTCGCACATATTGGTATTCGGCGTGGAGGCGGAGGGATAAAGCGTTTTTCTCGCGTTGGGGTTCGAGCGCGTCGTCGGTCAGCTTGACTTTCTTGCGCGCCGACTCGCGGGCTGATGGGTCTGCGAACAGAGATTTCGAGCGTCGGGCATTCTCTAGCACGAGAGATTTGAGATCGGGGGTGCCGACCTCCATTGTGTTGGCTAGCTATGAAGTATTATTGTGTAAGTGATGATAATAGTAATAGTAAAATAATAATAATAGAGATAGATGATGGATGATTGATGCATTGGATCTAAGCCAGGTACAAAGTTAACAAGCACATTATCGATAAGACTGGATGTACACCGTATAACTCATTAGTTGAATGATCTCTGGTTTTGTGAATATGTACATATCCATTGACTTTACTAAAGGTACTTGGATACTTTCAGATGCTTGATGTGAATGACGCTGTACCTCAGGAGCCTAGACCAAAGAGAAACCATATTCGTTTGCTCCTCAACAAACATTTAAACCAAACGAAGTGGAATAACTATAAGCTATACCTGAACTCATCTCAGGTGATCCCCAGTGTATATGACATGGCTTCCGACCAGTCGAGATATGCCATACATGCTGCGGCGAGGGAGGGCAAAGGTAAAGCTTCCCTTCTATATTAACGAGTCTATTTATAAGCCGTCTGTTAACTGAAACTCGCATCTGCTAGTCACCGTCGTCGAGTCTTTACTAAACGTAAGCTCGTAGATTTAATCTATCCTCATGAGATTCTAGTATAGCTAAGGAGCTCAACAGGCAGACCCAAAACTCGCTCGTCTCAAAGATGACGACGGCCGCCTCCCTATACACTGGGCTGCGTCTGCGAACAGCCAACCCATAGTGTTGATGTTGGCCCAACAGAAAGACTTCGATCCGGATGTTGAAGTGAGTAATAGAATAGCTATGTGAAGCTAATGATGATGTGGCATGAGACAAGAGCTTTATAACTAACCACGTCTTAAGGATGGCAGCGGCTGGACCCCCTTGATGATCGCGGCGAGCGTAAAAGATGGCGGCGCAGTGGTCGAGCTACTCCTCTCAAGAGGTGCCGACGTAAACCAGAAGAGTAAGTCTTACCCCTAACAGCCTGAAATCCAAAATTTCAAAAGCTAATTCTGGTAGACAATAACGGACAGGTGCGTTGCAGGGCTAAGATGTTTGAATGGACTTATAGACCGGTTATTGATACCAGCACAGACAGCTCTCCACTTCGTCGCTTCCAAGAGCAACCTCGACGTAGCTCGTAAGCTGCTAGATCACAAGCCCCCGGCTTCCACCCGTGTCAGGGACAAGCGCGGCCAGTATCCGATTCACCGAGCGGCGGCCGTTGGCTCGGTTCCCATGGTTAACCTGCTGTTACAAAATAAAAGCCCGCTTAATGCGACTGATAACTCGGGGTACACGGCTTTGCATCATGCGGTTGCTGAAGGTCACGGTTGGTTTTCTTCTATAATGAATTATAAGCCACAACACATCTACGGCATAACTGACAGGATATAGGAGATACCGCGGTCGCCCTACTCAAGGCTGGCGCTGAGTTTGACAAGCGAGATTCAGACGGATATCTCGCGTTAGATCTTGCACCCGACAAGGAGGTTCGCAAGTACATTGAGCGGGGAGCAGAAAATGAGGGAATTGACCTGTAATTAGTTCATATGAGTGTTGACTATCTGCCATTGATTGGGTTACGCCGCTCATAGTATTCTACTGTCTTATACCCCAAAATATTTAATTCAGGCGTAATATAAGGCCCAGGCGAGTCGCTGCCTCCTTATTTAATTGTGCGTTCCACGAGGTCCCTATACATGGCTTTGACATCTTCCACATCTGCACGTAACTCCTCTACTAGCTCGCTCTTTTCCCCGAGCATTTCTAGCGTAGTTTGGTACCTTTCGTTGATCAGTGTCACCTCCTTCTCCAGTTCTTCCACTTTCTTCTTGGCTCCCCTTTCGGCCTCGATCTCCTTCATCAAGACGACGATCTCTCCGCGAGCCTCGTCTCGTTGGCTTGAAATCCTGGCAAGCTCTTCCTTAGCTGCTACCTTTTCGCTCTCTAATCGACGGACTACAGCACTCATCCTCTCGACTAGTTGCACAGACGGCCCTGCTGTCATAGTAGATACCGACATCATGTCCTGCAATACGTTGTGAGGGGATGCAGGTGTTTCGTTTTCAAAAACATCATCCCTATCCACAGGATGAGTTGATGGAGAAGTTAATATCTCCAAGCCACCGGACAGGGATGGCGGCGTCCCCGATGACTGCACCGACGAGAAAGGGAACATGGGCGACCGCATAGGGGGTTGTCCTGATGGCCGCCTTGCCGATGCTGGCCGATCGCCAGGACTCGGGTCACCATTACTAGAAGGTGCCGAGGTCTTGCGCAGTCTCGTTGGATAACTCTGCAGCCCTAAGAATTCGCCGCTGAACGTTCTCTGCGGCGCTGTTAATAGAGGGGATTCTGGACGACTAATGTTACGGAAGGCAGCAGTAGGTATATCTTCTAGCCAGTTCCGCCGGTCTGGATCTGTTCGCTCGGCTTTTTCTTCTTTCCACGCCAACCGCTGCCGTTCGAAATCAGACTTCGCTTCAGCTAACGAAGCCTCCGCCTCTTCGGCCCGCCTGCGCAGGGCTTCGATTTCTGACCGGTGCGAGGACAAGTCTTGCTGCACGCTGGGTAGTTGGTTTCTTGCTTCTTCCAACTCCTCTTCCTGGCGTTTGGCTCGAGAAGCCTGATCCTAAGCGTTAGTGATTGCGGATGATCCAGAGGATGCGAACCACCTACCGTCTCCCGGGCTTTCCGCCTCATTTCCGACTCGCGTCGTAACGCTTCATCTCGTTCCTTCTCCAAGGCCGCCGTCTTTGCAATTAAAGACGCCTCTATGCCTTGCCAATTCTCACTGGCAATGGAATACTGCGTCTGAAGAGTCTCTATCTGGCGGAGTAGCTTCGCCTGCGCATCCCCTATAGCACCTGTTGACGCTTCTTCGGCTCGAATTCGAAGGGCTTCTAATTTGCTCTCGAGGATCTGGACTTCGCCTTTGAGTTCTAACTCTAAGGCACGAAACCGCTCTGCAGCCCTGTCGGCCTTTTCTTGTAGTTCTGTTGCTTGTAACTTTGCGCGGTCGGCTATTAAACTCTTCTCTACCTCTAGCGTCGCAACCGTTTCTTCAAGCTCCTTTACATGTTTCTCTCCCGCTTCTCGTAGCTGATCGTTCACCTTAGCAGCCAATGTCTTGGCTCGATCGGATTCCTCCTGTAGCCGATCCTTGAGCTCGGCTATTGTACTATCTTTCAAGGAGATTTCAGCCTTTAGCACTTCTAAATCTCTTCTCAGTTGGCTTATTTGCTTTTGTGAATCTGCATTCGCCTTCTCGACATCGCCTTGATCGTGAAGCTTTTTGCGTAGAGCACTGAACTCCGTCTCCGTTTTCTGACGCCAGAGTTTCTGTTCATTAAGCTCTTTCTCGACCATGACGAGTTGGCCTCTTAACTTTTTGATTATGCTCCTATGCTTCTGTTCTGTATTTGCCAGTTTCTGCCCTTCCTCCATCAACTGGGCAATCTGCTGGTCCTTCTCGGCATCTTTTTTGTCTGCGCTACCCGCCGGCGCGGCAGCGGCAGCCATTCTTGCTGCCTCCGATGCTTGTCGGGCTAAATATTGTAGTTTAGCCTGCAGAGCATCAACTCTTTCAATATGGCTATGAAGTTCTTCCTGGTGTTGCACATTGGCCTCCTCCAAGGCTTTTTCTAGGTCGGCAATGCGCTGCTCATATAGGGCCGTAGATGCTGAGATGTTTTTAGTTCCCAGCAGTTCGTCCTCAACTTCGATTGCCGGTGGCTCGGACTTCTCACCATTCTGAACTTCGCGATCGGGGTTTGGTGGGGCATGTAAGTCGCCTGCAGCAGCTTGCTCATCAACTGCTGGAGTCGGCGGACTCACAAAAGCCCCGTCGCCTGATGTAGACGAAGCAGGCGCTTTGCTAGCTGTATCATCTTTCGAGTCTTCCGTCTTCTCGGCGCTGGGTGGAGACTGTACCGTGGATGTTGTAGAAGGAATATCAGTGCTGGTACGGGGACTCTGAGTCGGTGGAGCTGATTCGGTACTTAATCTAGCGGGCGAGGAATCGGCTTTTTGGGCGGCATTCCTGGCGGCGACAGCTCGAGCTAGCCGTTCTTGCAATCGATCGTTAGAGGATCGTGAAGGCGTAGTGGACCGAGCTGGAACGCTGGTCGTAGTACCGGAAGACGTCGAGGGTGTTCTGGTCGGGCGTTGCGGTGATGACTGCTTTGCCGCATCCTCTTCGGCGAGGATATTGTCAAGGCGAGCTTCGACGCCAGCGACGGCCTGGGACAAAAAGGAGCCCCATCTCGACGACTTCTGGGGAGCTGACATATCTAAGGCTCTCGGGCCTACGCTGCAACTAGGACGATAATCTTTAACGAGTGGTTATGTCGCACGTAGTTCGATCTTCCAAGCAGTCCCGGAAAGGAAGCCGTCGCATTGTACAGAGCGTTATGCGCTGCTTGCTGACGTGTCACGGCGACGAGATGATGAAACCTAGATCCGTCCTACCGTTCTACTAAGAGTAGGAATTGTAAAATTCCAATTAGATTCGCATTTGTTTCCCCCTGTCGTTACAAGACAGCTGTAAACTAGACAGATCGTAAGATGGTGGCAGTCGGAATAAGTTGCCGGATAGGCTGTCGTATTGGAATACGACGCACTGCTTTCGCGCAAGAGTTTCTAGCTAATGCGGATGGATTCTGCGGGTGAAGCTTGGCAGCTATGAATTACTAGAAATAGACCAACCAAAGGGAGTTGTTTGTTTCAAATTTTCAAATGCCTAGAAGACGTCAGCCAGTACCAAATTGGAGGATCGTCCTGTTAAGAGAAAACACCCAAGGCGTCATCAAAAAGAGTCCGATACGTTATCTGATAGTTATGTATTGCATATTATTACTTTACTTTAATTAACAGAGTCCGGATATTTGCATATAGACCTTATTCATGCATGTACCTAGATACCTACATCTTTAGATACGTAATTGCCTTCCATTGATCTAGGTATACGTACTTTAGACCAGGGGTCCTAAAAAGCCTTTCCTTAACAAGTTAGGTATACTTGCACATTCTCACATGGTTTTTTCTTTCTAGATTGATCCTGCATCTACCGTAATAGGTAATAAGCTATACTATAAAGGTAAGTACCTACCCTAAGGGAAGGTACATATGTCATAGGTATGTGCAAATAGTGTATGTAGTACGGACATAAGGTTCAGTAGGGCGTAAAGTACATACTACATATGTAACCTAGTAAGAACGGTTCGATATTCTTACCGGAGTGCCGGAAACACACTTCTTCAACACTACGCAACTTACACAACCCAATTCATATTTCTCTTCATTCCTATCCATCGACTCAGACAAGCTCAACGGAGACACGCCCATCCATCTTTACAGAAACTTATTCATAGCCTCATATAATAGGACGAACTAGTTCCCTAACAACGACACTTAATGTTATAAGCCGATTCACCCACCTCGAAACATGTCTGTGCAGAGCCTCCTCGAGGCCTTAAGCTTCCCTTATCATGAACCTCGGCACGGTTTCTGGGGTGAGAAAACATCTACCTTGAACTTTTGTGAGGAGGTAAGTGAAACACATGCTCTGCCTGCTCAAGAGAGCATAATACTAAACACCAAATCTTAGGACTATGTTATGAGTTACTACTGTGCCGAAGTCTGCAATGTAGGATTCCCCTTTCCCCATTTGTTCCTTTTTAATTCCCCCTTTTCAAATCCTCATCTCCTTAAGCTCAATATACACGAGGAGAATGCGGCGATTCGAAGACTAATTTACTATATGCGGCATGTTGCGTTTAGACCCTCACCAATGCTCTCTTCGTATGGCTAGGCCTCAAGGGTATCCGAGGGTGCATCAAATATTCACACCCTCTGATTTTCATTGTCACTTTTGCTGGATACATGGTGGTTGGCCTAGGGTCTACCTTTTTCCACGCCACTCTTAAGTGTAAGCCAGCGCACAACGGATGATACCATGCCCAAGTCTTCCTGGAGCAGGTTTCTCAATGTTCAGATCGCGGCTCTCTGACACTTGATAGATCCTATGCAACTGGTAGACGAACTCGCCATGATTTATACGACTTGTTTCATGTGCTTCGCTACGTTTACATACGGCAAATCTGTTCGCTTTTCCTCCCTCCTTGGAGCCAGTCTTCTCTGGCTTTCATGGTTTATAACTGTTCGTCCCGCCCCTCGTCGCTGTTCATAGAACAGCTGGGTATGCTAACAATAGATTGCTAGACAAGATATTATAAAACCAAGGACCCTCAGTTCCACCAAGACGCCTATGCGGTATTGACCGCCACGGTGGTCTTCTCTAATATGTGGATTATGGAGCGAACACTCCGGCCGGCCCTGAAGACGAGAGAAGAAAGCAGAAAACGAGAGGCTCGCGCTCCGAGGTTGCCGACAACCAATGAGATGATAAGGCAGATGTGGGTCTTGGTTGCGACAGGTAAGCCACTGACGGTAACAACGTGATTGGCAATCATGTTAACGATTTGGTTTCTTCGTTAGGGCTCAGCGTATTCCTCGGCGGTTATCTTATCTGGAATTTAGACAACATGTACTGCAATACGATCCGTAAATGGCGGCACCAAATCCAGCTTCCCTGGGCAGTCGTCCTCGAAGGTCATTCTTGGTGGCATCTAAGTAAGAAAATCCCCCTATTTCTTGTATACTTTTATGTGGGAAATAGTTACTAATATCCTATATTTACTGCAGTGACTGGAATAGGCGGTAAGTATAATCTTTATCCCGAATAACGAGCAAGTATGTATAAATGATGACCCTGGTCCCCCACTAACATGAATGTCTTTATTAGCATACTTCTATATCGTCTGGCGCATTTGGATCCACCGCTGTTTAGACGGCGACGAGGATAAATTTCAACTTGTCTGGCCCTCGTTCTTCCGGATGCCGGAAGTAGTCGCTCTAGAGGACATGACAGATAAGAAAAGGAAATAACAAATACGCCAACCGGAACCCTACTAGACGATTAGACTCTTTCACACGCCCACCCGAGAACTAACTATACTTACAAAACGCTACTTAGCGATACAAGGTAACGATAGACGACAGCGATAGATGGTAGTGATATTTGATGTGATTACAAGCGTACTCGAATAGAGGCTAGACGACATATTCATTCGGCGTTTACGTTAGTACATTGAGCGTTGAGTCTCTCAGTGACTTACAAAATATATACGAACGTTCGCTTTAGGGTAGTTATTTTCTAAAGTCTGCCTATGTGGAGTTTCACAGCTCCAGGCTAGGCTAGAACCCTAATAGAATAAATGGAATAAGTTGAATCAATTCTATCAGATTGTAACTGTTACATTGTGATATACATAGTAGCTACGAAAGTATCGGGTTGCGTACATTTAATTTTGTATTGGAAATACATATGTCAAACTGTACTGCATAACCCCACCATCGGCATGCAACCTAAGCTCTAACCCCTCTATGTACATAGATAGGTACATTATAGTGGCATCTCAATCGAAGTCCTCTCTTATGTTGCCTTGCACCACCATTGAAAACGTACATGCATCTTAGGTAATGCAAACAGCCGCTATAAATCTAATAGGCATTATATCTGTCTAGTCCTCTCTACTGCGATATAAAAGAATACACAGTTCATCTCAACTTCAGGGTGCACCGAGATCAGTCCAAGGAAGTGGGAAAGCAAACGAGCGAAAAAAGAAAAAGAAGCCCAAATCCTAGAGGGAGGATGTCCATCTCAAACGAGGCATTGCAGAAGGTAATGTCATTTAGATATTCATGATAAGACTACAACCACTCACAAAATTTGCAATATATAGTTGCTGCGGGAGGTTGAGACGCAGGCGATCGCAGCGCAGCAGCAAATATCCCTCGTCAGAACGCAACAAGCATCTAAGCAGCGAGAGTTGCGAATGGCGCAGCTAACGCGCAGCGAGATATCCTCGCTCCCGGCCGACACTAATGTATACGAAGGCGTCGGCAAGATGTCAGGCCTTCTCTCTTCCCCCGCCACCCGTATCGGGTATACCGATGAGTAACCACTAACCGGAACGCAGGTTTGTGGCCATGCCCGTTGCCGAGATGAAGAGCAAACTAGAGGGCCAGATCAAGGAGGTAGAAGGCGAAGTAGACGGGCTCGGCAAGAGGCTGCACTACCTTGAGGTTTCGCAGAAGAATAGTAAGGACCAGATAGACCGCATGCTGAGGGGCGGTGTGAGCGCGTCTTAGAGTAAAAAGGCAAAGGTTCTGGGTCCGGTTCGGAAGGGAGGGGTTTTGGCTACGCTGGCTACACTGGCTACACGGAGGCCTGCCGATCACGCGACACGGAACTCTGGCGCAGCAAATGGGGGGAACGGAGGCGTTGTGCTGTGTATGTATTAGCAGTGCTGGAAGGCGAACAATCAACCGTGACCTAACTGCCCAGGCATCAGATCAGATTTAAACTTCTCGGCTAAGGAGGCTGTTCACCGGTGGTTCGTGATGCGTTAGTGCTTATTTGTCTATCTTACCCGAACACCATGTACAATACAGTCATAAACTTCTCGGGAGAGAAAAAAGGAAGATAGCATGGTTATGGATGTATGTTTCGCCACCGAATTTAGTCACCAATCCTACATTCATGCGGCTCACTTGAATGATTACCTACCTACGTAAAGGTTAGGTACCAAACAAACACTTCTAACTCTTTTACTTTTGAGAATGTCTTAAATTAGTATATAAATTAGTATATTTTTACATATTCAAGCAACAAGCGCGCGCATAACCTTCCCGAAAAGAAACAACTATGAAAGTACATAGTTTCGTGGTATTTACGCTCCTAGCCCTATCTATTAATAGGTACAATCAGAGACAAGTAAATGTATGATGTATACCCAGGTAACTGTATAAGATGCTTATTAAGCTTACGCATAACTAACAACAACGAAGTTCCAAAGTTATGTGTGTGTATGCGTGTGAGTGCTAAATGAACCCCACTCTCAGCCCCTCGGACAAGGGACTATAAAACATCTTATTAGTTAGCGTTATAATGCCCTCGAATCCACGAATTGTCGCTCAACTCCGTTCGGCCCCCAACGATGGATTGATCGCTAGAGGTACTTAGCTAATGACGAAAGGTACACTATAGATTGTTTTGAGAAAAGTACCGCGCATTAGGGCCGAGGTAGGAAGTAATAATTTAAACATGTACCTATCTATTAGTAACGAATGCCGTATAGCCGTATGAGAAATACTTTGTATTATACAACGGTAGTAACACTTCGCTAGCAGCATGCAGCCATGATGGACTTAGTTGTACTACCCTTGAGTGGGCATCGTTGTTTGTCGAAATAGTACCAATCGGTAAGAACGACCTGGGGCACCTTGGAAGACAACCCAATATAGTAATAACTAAGCAGTTAAGGTGGATTAGAACATGTGCGCGCGCCTGCGTTTTCCAACAGCGATAAATTGAAGAGCGCTTCCCCCGCCTTTGGTACGGTAGGGGTAGGGTAGGTATAAGCGTATTATAAGCAGCTGCTTCTAACCCAAGTAGTTCTTACCCAAGGTGGTTCTTACTGAGTTCTTACTTGAACCTCCCGAACTTCCCTCCCTTATCTCATTTTCCCTTTTTATTCCCCTCTCCCACCCACGTCCTACTGGACATACTTACCGTTTACCCGTATTTATTTATACCATATCGTCTCATATACCCTCTACTGAGACCGATCCGAGATGAGTAGATACAATTCCTATTCCGATGAGGACTCGGACCTCGATATCCGTCTGAGACATCGGCACGCCTCAGCTTCTCCTCGACCTCCGGCTCCCCCTACCCTTGCGCACTATGTTGAGGCTCCGTCCCGGTCCCGGCCCCGATTCTACGAGACTGGTCCGCGAGGTGAGGATCGTTTTCTAACCCCGACAAATGAGCGTACCCTAGTTACCACTAGGCGCTCTGTCTCGCGGGACCGTCGTCCAGGTTCTCCTGGGAGCAATGCGCCTCAACAGGCGCCGCCTCCGGTTATTATTAACAACCGCATCTACAATAACTCGGACTCGGAATCGCTATCCTACTCCGATTCCGAGGACGAGTACAGGCGATCCCGATCTCATCACCGTCGCCATCGCTCGCACTCTCGCGTCTCATCCAGCCACTCCCGCGACCGTGAACTTGAACTCCAGCGTGAACTCGAGCTTCAACGTGAGCGTGATGCCTATGCGCTCGAGCATGTGCGCGTAGACTACGAGAAAGAGATTGAGATGCGGCGTCGTGAGCATGAGAAAGAAATTGAGAACAAGCGTCGAGAGTACGAGCTAGAGCGCACGCGCAAAGAGCTGCAAGAGATCAAGCTGGCCAAGCAGATCGAGCAAGAAGAGCAGCGGCGGAACCGGACCATGCAAGAAGAGCGGGACCTGCGAGATGCCAAGAGGGAGCTCGACGCGATCCGCAAGGCCAAGGCAGACAACGAGTATGAGCAGCGCGTGAAGCAGAAGCTCGAGCTCGAGCGCATGAAAGCTGAAGAAGCCGCGCTCGAGGAGAAGCGGCGCCGCGAAAAAGAGGCCAAGGAGATCATCGACAAGTACAAGCGTGAGGAAGCCGAACGCAAGCTCCGCGAGAAGCAGGAGGCCGAGCAGCGCGAGAAGGAGTACAAGGCCAAGATGCAAGAGCAGCTGCTCAGATCCGGCCTCGACGAGAAGGAGATTAATGCCATCCTCGCCGGCGAGAAGATCAAGCGCGAGAAGGAGAAGAAGGAGAAGGAGAAGGAGAAGGAAGAAAAGAAGGAAGAGAAAAAAGAGGAGGAGAGGCCGGTTTACACACGCATGGCTAGGCGACATCTTTCGATTGAGACCCTTAGGGCTTATAACATTGACTTTCAGCTTGACCCTGTAAGTAGCATAGATACCCCCTCACCCAGCTATGTCATGTCGATATGGCAGATCTAACCTCGCAAACTAGGATCCCGATTACATCTTGATCAAGCGATGGGTGGCGGAGCCAGAGCAAGACCTGCTCTGGAGACACACCAAGCTCATCCGAGAGAAGCGGTCTAGCTCTACCTCTTCTGGCAAGCTCATCAGTAAGTTTATCTCATCTCATATTTAGCTGCCATCGTGAGCCCCATGGTCCTCATTGGGAATTCACGCGCTTTTCTGTCAACGTTCTTCAGTTTGTGGATAAGATATATGCTAATATTAGAATAGTGAGCATCGAAGAAGGCAAGAAAAAACATCATCATCACCACCTCGAGCCCGAATTCGAATGGGTCCGGAAGAAGGAGCGTCGACGCAGCCGATCCCCTTCGTTGTTGATGTACCTAGCTGGCGGGCGGCCATCATAGTATGTGGCTAGTTTTCGCACTCATGGAGGCAGACGGGACAGTCGCTGCGATTCGCAGTTAACGAACGAAGTTACGCCCTTTTCCTACGTTCAGGTGAGGCGGGAGTGGCAGGGGCAGGGGCAGGCAGAAATGATCATGAGCAAGAATATATACCCAATTTTAAATAAAGAGCAGTCCACGCCAAGCAAAAGAAAGCTCCGATGAAAACTGCTTTTATGAGAGGGGATTTGATATTTTTTTCTTCTTCACTTTGGATATAGCTTTTTTTTATACGTAGCTGGCCTGGTAATCATACATGCCCTTTCGCGTCTCTTGAATATAGCGTAGTCTCTGCTCTCCGAATCAACTCTTCGTACACCATCCAAGCCAACGCGGAACTTATGGCCTTGCGCGTCATGCGCAGAGCAAGTCCGTCGTAGAGTGACCGTACACCTTCCTCCGTGATCATCTTGCGGCACGCTTGAACCATGTTACGGTACTGGCGGGGCTGCAGCTGTATGCGCGTCTTGACGGCGTCGAACGGATTCGATATGAAGGAACACGTTGCGCCAGCGAGTGCACCGGAAGTGAAGTTAATGGTGGCGGATAGAGAACTCCCCATTCCCAGGCTGGCCTGTCCGTGAGTGATAGCCGGGCTTACATAAAGCCAGGCACTGAGTCGCTTTTTGAATTGTTCATATGAAAGAACGTAGAGCCCGGCATACGGGGCATCTCGAAGGGCAGTGGCGCCAAAGCCGGCAAAGAATCCGGGGATGCGTTCGGTTCTGTATATATCCCTGGCAGCGCCGGCAATCGACTTGTACGAATACAGGTTTGATTCATAGCGTACCTTGATAACCGTCAGCGGCATAAGGATGAAGCCCGCAAAAGCCCGGGCGACGGCTCCGGATACCATGTTGGCGGTATTAGAAAGTTTGGGCAGCGAAGAAGAAGACCCGTGCTTATCAACGACCGGAACTGTAGCGAACGGAAAGGCCGTTGCACGCTGCCGAATCATATTCAAGGTGGTAAAGTAGATGGCCGACCCGACGCCGGTCCGTAGGGCTGACGGGACTGTGCCCCTCCAGAAGGCAGTCAATGCATTTGGAGACTTAGCAATCTCTCTTATAGCAGCTCTGATTGAGTGTGAACCTGACTGCTGCACGCGTGTCTTAAGAAGATCGAACGGCTGTAAAAGTACGGCGCTTAATGTGCCAGAACCGAGGCCAGCGACAAAGTGGAAGGCTATACCGGAAGAATCGTCAGCTTCATCACTCGAACTCGAGATTTAAGGACCCAAGACTGAGATTGTGTGTTTGCTTACTCGACGAAGACTTGCCTCCGGTTGTCTTCTGCGACATTGCGAAGCAAACAGAGAAAATGAGCGAATGAGCGAATGAATCCTACCAAGACGGAGGATTCGACTTATAGCAAGCCCATCTGCTTAGGAGTTTTATACCTCTCTTCTCTCTTCCCTCTTGATCCGACCTTCAATTGCCCGCATGGCACAAAATAAGTGGGATCCGGGCTGCTTTTCGTATGCACTGATGCAAAAAGACAGTAGCTTTGAGTCAATGGCTTATCAGCTTATTAAGGTGCTAGTAGCTTTTGGTCCATGGACTTCGAGCTTGCCCTTCAAAAAATCGATTTAAAGGCGAACCCCGCCAATCCTCACGTCATACTTTGCACCCAGGAGAGCCTAGGCAAGTGGGTAGGTACAATACGTGCATACCCAATATATAGGTAAAGGTACAGGGATCGTGTGGGCTATATGTACCTAAGCATAAAATACTTTTATGCGTGCACATGCTTTAATATATTTAGACCACGGGCATCATCTCCATTCTCCTTAAATTACTCTTTGTCTATTAGAGAAGGGTATTTAAGAAGAGTAAGTTTGACGTTAAATCTCAGTGGGAATGGTGGTAAATGTTTATGTTTTGATGGGCTCTACGGCCCCTTTCTCTTTACCGCCGACGATTGATTCTAGACGACCTGCCATGAGCCGGTGACGCTTAACTACCTCGACCCATTCATCTTCTGCTTCATCTCCAACGTCGATAGTAGCTAGTAATATCCCAAAGTCTCCCCCAAGACGTCCAAGACTTCCGGCACAGTAAAGAACTTGTGTCAATAAACTATCACGGGACGGTTGGTCTTTAACAGTTGGCAGGTAAATCCGGAGTGTCTCCATTAACATCTCGATAAGGTGAAATAAGAATGTCGATGCTGCGGATGGTACAGGCTGTAGAGGGTCATCATCGCTTGTTTTTGACGGCGTCTCATTTGTGTGCGTAGGAAATATACTCCTAAACATTGAGATGATGGCAAAACTTTGCTCTCTGAATATCTCTATGTAACGCTTGAGGTATCTCTCTGTTTGCTGTCCTCCAGACCAGGCACTCCCTGTTGGGTTCTGCTGTTGCCGCACCCTTTCCTGTTCTGCTAGCTCACGAAGTGGCTCTAAGGCAGCTAGCATATTGATGAGTGTTGACAGACGGCATACGAGGAATAAAGCTCCTAGCCCTCCGCCATTTCCAGTGGCGCCGGTAGTATCAAGATCCGGTATGACTCTTCGGAGCCAGCTGACCGTCCTCAAGGCAGATGCTAGCTTGAGGCCGGGTGTGCGTAAGCCCATTATCAAGTTTTTGGCCATGGCCTGCATAGCTTCATCGGCCTGCGTGGAAACAGACGCCACCAAAGGTGAGTCGGGGTATAGGCCATGCAGTCGGCGGATATGGCCGTTAAGATCCAGCGCGGATGCATAATTTGCAGCCGGGGCAGAAGAGCCTGTGGAGATGGCAGTGGAGAGTAAAGTAGGGAGGTCAAGCACATCCACTAATCGTTCGACATTTCTCGACAGTAACAGGGCTCGCTTTCGAGCATTAAGGAATTCATTGTCTCCGGATTTGTGGTAAGTAGTTGAAAAACGAACTGCCTCATTATCTAACTTAGGTATGGCAGCCGTTAAATCAGTGGCCGAGGCTGCTAGAGTAGGAAGCGTAGTGCCGAGGTGGGCATGATTAGCTGCCGAGCTAATGATAGACTTGTGAGAACGTTTAGAAAGGGCTTGTAGAGAGAGGTGTAGTGAATGAGAAGATTGGGCTAATGACTGCTGTTCGGAGCCATCTAGTTGAGAAAGGGGCATAGAAGCCAATGTGGAAAGATATTGGAGGGCGACAGGGTCAGTCTGAGTCTTGTCATTTGAGCGACGGTCGGCTGAGCTAGGCGGATTTAATAACTCTTGAAACAAATCAGACATTGTGCCTACCTAGAGGTTAGTGGTGTGGTGTAGTTCAGTTGGCCACCTGAGGGTTGATTTAGAAATTAAGAAATGATGCCTATTAACTTGGTGCTGTTACTCGTATGTATGTGTGTACATAGTAAAGATCCTACCTGACTTTAAACCTTGGGCGGAATGTTGTTTTCTACCAAGGTTCCATGTACCTGCATTGTAGTGTACATGAAAGAGCAAGGTACATACATAACGTTGGTGGACCCAGCATTGAAGCCACAAATGCCAAGATCAAACTACCTAAGCTACCTCTTAAGTGAATATCAATCTATTCATTTGTAATACTACCTCATACCTACATATGTACCTACCTAAAGCACCTAAGCCAAGTGCATGTACCTTAGCCTAGTACTTCCTGTATCCATACCCAACGGTCCCGAATTCTGCAAGTGGCCGATTAACCCGTTTTGATTTTTGTTGAGCCCGGCCGGCACAGCTGAAAGGAAGGAAGCCCCGTATATACATCCATACATCATCCATGCTGCCATGAAGTTGGAACTAATGTTCCAGATGCATTAAAGCATGCATTAAAGCATCAAAGTGCTACGCATGTAATAACCTAAATTCGCAACCGGCACCAAAAACCAATCAATACAATCAATACACCACTCACAAAATCCAGTGCCCTTCCTCGCCTGGTGACCACTTGACGACCACTTGACACCCGTACAGGTGCCATGTAGTTACGCTACGTGTGCTCTGTCATACGCACCCCCTAGGCACCAAGTACATGATTATTATTATTATTATTATTGTCTTCATCAGCTCTTGTCTTACTTTTACATACATAGATCCAGCTGACTGACATAATCCTCCACAGCCTTGGCCCTTTTTAATTTAATTTATTTTCATCCTCTACGGTCCACGGTCCACGGTCTACGGCTTATAACATTCATCTACTACCCCCGTCAACCCGTCATCCCGTCATCCAACTATTTACTATTACCTTTTACCATTACCTTCGTCTACCTACATCCACCCTAGGTTTGGGTTTACATACCCCCTTTCTATGACCTGTCTAAGGACATCATCGATTTCATACTTTCTATTCTTCGACTAAGATACTAGTTAGATACTATAGTGGCTCGATCTCCTTAACCCGCATAGCGTATCGACGACAAGGATAGAAATCCAACATGAGGGATCCTTTCCCTATTCCTCCTATCCCCGCCCTCAGCAAGGCCGTCCAACCATGGGCTGACTACCTTGGGTTACCGACGCTGCCTCTGCATATTCACGAGGTCCTCTTGATGGCTGCTCTCTACTTCTTCATCGGCACTGTCATCTCGCCCTTCCTATCGAGCCGAATCTTCCCTACCAAGTACAAAGCTCTCTCCAGGAGCAAGAGGCTGAGCTGGGATGTCCACGTCGTGTCGTTTGTACAGAGCACCACCATCAACATCCTCGCACTATGGGTTATGTTCGTCGACGAGGAGCGCAAGAATATGGACTTGCAAGAACGTGTCTGGGGATATACCGGTGGTGCAGCTATGATCCAAGCTCTCGCTGCTGGTTATTTCCTTTATGACCTCATTATCACTGTCGCCCATCTCGAAATATTCGGTCTTGGTATGCTCGCACATGCCGTTAGTGCTTTGGCCGTCTATTCCTTTGGCTTCGTAGGTCTCGTCTGAACTCTGAACTATGAACTTGAGCTCGGAGAGCTAACTTCAACAATAGCGCCCCTTTCTTAACTACTATAGTTCTAACTTCATCCTCTGGGAGCTGTCTTCGCCTTTCCTCAATATCCATTGGTTCTTTGACAAGCTGGGTATGACTGGAACTAAGCCCCAGCTCTATAATGGCCTAGTACTCATTGCTACTTTCTTCTCCTGCCGTCTCGTATGGGGCACATATCAATCTGTCTTAGTCGCCCGTGACTTATGGACCGGCGTAAACTCGACACCTACCGTTTTGACAGCTCTAACTCCCGACGAGCTTCTCGAGGCATCATTCCCTCCCCAGTATACGAATACCATGCGATTTGTATCTCAGCCAGATAGCATCCCACTATGGCTTGCTGCGGTATATACTGCTAGCAATATAACTTTGAACTCGTTGAACTTCTACTGGTTCTTCAAGATGATCGACGCCGTCCGCAAGCGGTTCGATCCCAAGGAAAAAGAAGTCAAGGTGGAAGAAAAGCCGATAGAAGGCAAAGCCGTCACCACCGGTGTCCAACCAGGCAGTAACGAGTTGAAGGCTCGCCCGCGCCGGGGAACTTTGCTCGACGGAGAAGAGGCAGATGAACCCCCACCAATCTAATATTTCGTAGGGAAACGTCAGTTTTCTCGATTGGCTTGTCGGTGCTATAATTCGCTCCTAAAAGCCTCGAAGCAATATCTTCGCCTCTTTACAACTAGGTGATAATGTAGAAGCCCCGAATTTGAGATGTAGAGACTTGGATCACCCGTCTGATGGAGAAGTTAACATGAAAGGAAGAGGGGCTTAGCCGAATTAAGTATCTGGTCCTAGCTTGCAAAGGATTCGTACGGATAAGAGGCTTAATGAATGGGTTTTATGTCATTTTGATTAAACCATTAATCAATAAAAACGAGGAAAATTACAAATAATAATACCATTCCGAGTCACCGTGAAACAATTTGACGATTTCTTGTAGTATATAGTAGTCTGTCCGTTTAACTCCCATGTAAAAACCACCATCATACTGTTTAACAATATACCGATCTTATCACCGCAAAATAGCGTCAAAAAGGACGTCTTACGCTAGCCAACGTAGTTATAGGATAATATTCTACTATTATTAAGTAATTAATTATATCATACCTAGAAAGGTCTAATGTGATACAAATGACTGGTAAGTTCGGGATGTGCGAGAAAATCCAACCCCCGAGATATGTGTCTCGGGGGCAAAAACACCAAAAAAAAAACATACAACACCGGGGATTCGCTGGTCGTCACCGACCCAACTACTAATCCGGCGGTATCCGGCTTGTCTAGGGGAGAGCGGACGGGATCCCGAATTTTCCAGATCCTATGGTCGTATGTGATAGTTGTGTTTGTTTCGTACGTTTATATATTTTGTCACGAAGTAACCCCTTATACACGTACAACCAGCCTATGTAGCTTCCGCATTATTGCCAGACAAGAAAGTAAATCAACTTGATTACCATAATCTACATAGGATTAGCTAGCCCTCTAAGCCCGCAAGATATGCACACCTTATTCTGCACGACGTCTAGAAGGTAGACAGCCTCCCGTGTCCTTAGCTCAGATGGGCAGTAGTTAAAAGTATATAATATATAATATATGGATGGAGAAGAAGCCATACATTCTTTCTTTCTGTCTTATAAGTAAACCGTGTCCAAACAACGTCTACTTCCATTCCCGCCCCAGCCTCTGCTCTATCTCTGCTTCGCTTCTGCTATACATGGCTCCCTTTCTCTTCCCAATCCCTTCTCTCTTGATTATCTTAAAACACCTCTCTGTGATGACCCCCCGTCTCAAGATTAGGTTTCATCTCTGAACTGCTCGAGGTAGATAGATACATTTCAGACAAGGCTCTAGCGGTGCGATATGCGATTATTATTCAGGGCCCGACTAGACTGGACTAGACTAGCATCGTGCTTTAATACATTAAGCCTATCACCCGCGTCTGAATAGATTACCGTTGTGGTCGTCAACTCTACACCACAGCTACTTGACCAAAGCGCCCTATACATGAAGCTTTTAGAAGCCAAATGGGTTTTGCGGCGCTGTATGATGTTAGCTGATAGCAACCAATGTATATTAAAGGGAGGAAGCACTTACTTGCTTGGGCGAGGTTCGCACGGCGTCCAGTAGGCTGAGGGACAATTTTATCTGTAACACCGAAGCGTACGGGGGGTGGAGGACCTGTCTGCTGGGGGAGAAGAGGAGCTGCGGGAGGCTGTTGAGGTTGGGCTGCTGCGTTAGGATTGAAGCTTTGACCAAAACCACCAAAGCCGGTCTGCTGCGGCTGTAACGATGGCATACCCGTGCGCTGAGGCTCCAGCGCGGGAGGGAGATAAGAGTTGACACCAGTCTGCTGCGGGAACTGTTGTTGCGGTTGGAAACCACCGGGAAAGCCCGTCGGTTGGTTTTGGATTGGAGAGAATTGCTGAGGACGAGGGTCTGCAAATGGACTCTGTGTTTGTGGCGCTCCAGTCATTTGAGGTTGCATGAACTGGCCAGGTCCAAACGCGGACTGGGCGGGCATGCCAACACCCGTATTGAATGGCATCATACCTTGGCCAGTAGGTTGGGGCTGGAAGGAGCTCATATATTGCTGCTGCATTCGCTGTTGGGCGAGATCGTTCAGGCTCTGTCCTGGAGGTGCGATACCCGTCATCTGGGGTTGTAACGGGGGTGGCGCGAACCCGCTAGGCTGCACAGACTGCGGTGCTGATAATGGCCGTGACGGCGGAGGCGGCATTAGAGCACCTTGAATGCCGGTGACTTGGGGTGGTGTGGGCCTTTGCCTATTACCAAGACCGAGATTGAGCGGCTGAGCTGGAATAGCTGACGCTTGCGGGAAACCTGTCTGCTGTGGCGGGATGCCAGTGAAGAAAGCCGGCGTTGCTCCCGGCTGCTGAGGTTGCGTCTGTGGAGGCTGAACTTGGGATTGCGACTGCGCTTGAGGTGGCGGCAGAGTTATGGTAGGGGATGTAGCGGTTGGCTGTACCTTGATCGGCTCTAGCGGAGTCGATAGGAGAGAAAGATCTTGCATGGATTGCGTTGGTGGTCGTTGAGGCTGAGCGGGCGCGGCTGGAGCTGGTTCAGGGGCCGGGGCTGGTTTCGCTTCAGGCTCGGGCTGCTGCTTGGCTGGTTTTACGTCCCAGGCGTCGTCGTCGAACCCGCCGCCACTCTTACCAGTAGCCTTTGGAGAGGACGACCCCGTATCTTGGGCACCGCCGTCTTTTTGTTGAGAAAACGCCTTAGGATCTATATTGTCATTAGTCTGAACAGAAGGAGAAGGACGACCCTTTCGAGTATTGTTCCGGAGTGTTCCGCCTGGTCCCGAGAAGAGACCCCCAGAACCATCTTCATCGTCCCCAGAGAAGCCTTTCTTCTTGCCATCGCGACCATACTTCTTATCTAGGTAACGTGTAACCTTGATGATATCGCCTTCTCGGAGGCCAAGATTACGTAGAACACTTGCGTCCACATCAGGTAGAACGCTTTCATCCATGGAGTCTTTAGCAAAAGCCTGAGCATATCGCTCACAGAGGCCGACAGCAACATCGCAAGATAGGAAGAACTGAAACCAATCGTAATCTGGCTTCGCCGGCTCGATGGATGCACCGACTTTGCCGGACGTGGACTCTCGGTTCGAACTATTCTTTGGAGGCAATGCGCGCTTAACTTCAGATAGGGGCTTGTCTTCGTCTAAGGACGCCCCTGTGATACGTTCGACGTACTCAATATCTTCGATCGACATCTTGGCCACGGGGACAGCTATTTTGACTCCATTCAGCTTATGTAGGTTAATCTTCCCATCCTTGAGCCCGAGGAATTGGGCCTCAACGCTGAATGATTTAGACCTGTCTGTCCAACTTCGTACTTTGGTCGGATCTGGTTCTGGAGCTGTTATTAGCATCTTCTATATTGAAAGGACGAATTGGTATGGCTTACTAGGCTTCGAGGATGAACCAGAGCGGCTGCTTTCTGCTCGGCCGTTTTCGCGTCGGTTTCGCTGTTGCCCAGAAGTGTTACCATTATCTCTCACCGACAAACTACTACGCCTCTCAGGCAAAATCATTCCAGGCCCTACCTCTGCTGCTTTTTGGTCTCTCTTGAGCGCTTCTTTAGTCAAGCGTGCTTCTTCCAGTCGGTTCTGTGCTACGGTAGACCTGCCGGCATTGATACCCGATGTCGCCGTCGATGACGATGTCATCGTTCCGATAATTTCGACGTAACTGCTCGGAACAACCCCTTCTTTTCCGCTTTTGAGGCGTCGGACTTGCCACCATTCTTCGCTCTTAGTATCGTCGAGGATCATGACTTCGTCTCCTATATAAACAGTAACTTCATCGTCTCCCTGTGCCTCGAAGTCGTAAAGAACCTGCCCCTTCTTCTGGGCACTTTGACCAGTTCCGGCCATGATCACCTCCCGCAGACCTTCTGCCCGTACGGCTCCGGCCAGCTCGCCAAGAGCGCTGACAATCTCTTCGGCAGTATCCTTGGCACCCGCATGGAAATCTATACTCTTGCTCGGCCGAACGAGCTCCAGAAACACGTGTTTGCCCTCTCGGGAGTAATGTGTCATCTTCTCTGCAGTCCACTCTTGACTTGGGCCGTCTGAGACATGCTCAGGGGCGATTAGAATAACCCCCGTTTTCAAGTTTACGCCTAATGTTGTGGGCATCTTCTTTTTCTTGCCCATTATAGACACCATCTCGTTGATATTATATAGATGAAAGCCACCAGGCGCGATCCGGCTTGACTGTGGTGGGGAGAGCTCATCTTCGTACTCACGGCGGCTAGAAGACCGTTGCGGATGAGCTGACGCACGACGCTGTTCATTCGGCATGCTTGATTGGGGCCGTGGACGCACCGGTAGAGCGGGACTTGGTTCGCCATCGGATTCTTCAGAGAGATATTGCTGGCGAGGAGGTATAGTAACAGGCGGAGGCGTTGCCGCACGAGTAGAACTTTTACCCTGCATCACGCCGGCTAAAGCAGCCGCTGGGCCAGGTGCCGTAGGGGCGGCTGGGGCTCTTGCTGGAGGGTTTCTGTCCGGAAGAGGCGGGCTCTGAGGTCCATCTGACTCGACAGGAGCAAAGGAGACAGAGGCTCGTGTAGGTAAGGACGGGGGCTTCGGTACGGGTAAAGGTTCGGGCTCAGGCTCAGGTTCAATTTCGGGTTCAGGTTCCGGTGCAGCTTTCTGTGTCGTAGCCGGTGCCGGAGACGACGAGGCCGCACCCATCTCAATATAATTTGCCGGAGCGAAGCCATAATCCTTCTCAAACCCGACAAGAATCCAATCTGGATCGGACGTATCGTAGACTTGCAATGGTGCATCTTCGGGGAAAGACAGCTCCTCGTCGGTCTGCCGAGTATATTCATACAATGCACGAGCTTGTCCTACAGGCGGTGCCTATAAAAGCTTAGCACATCATGTTATGAAGGACGGTTAACCCCGTTCATGATGTGATTATACGCACCTCTTCTACGTAGTTGTTAGGTACCAGGCCGACAGGCTCATCTTCGTCGTCAGCACTAGCCTTCTTCTTGGCTTTCCACCAGTCATCATCCGCACTCTTCTCCAAAACATAGAGAATATCGCCTTCACTTATTGATAGCTCTCCCTCGGATTGCGGCGCATAATCGTAGAGTGCCTTGTAAACACCCAGGAACCCCATGGTAGCTAGAAGACGTAGGCAGGGAAATTTCGTTGTGAGGAATCTATTACTGAGGGGTCGATTACAGTTGTATCAGGATCGCATACGAGACTGAAAGCGAGGGTAGGGTTACAGGGTTTCGTGCGGCCGAGGTAAAGGGACCGAAAAGACGACGAGGCTCTCGCAGCTCGAGATGGAGAAGAGGTTGAAGCGGTTTGTCGGTTAAAGTAGCAGCAACAGCTATAAGT